TCAGCAGACTGCTTTTCAGAGGGTGTTTGACAGGTGGTAAGGAGGCATTATTTCACCTCACCCTCTGCTTTAACCCCTAAAAATGTTCAACAATGTGCCATTCTGTTGGATGGGCTGAGTTTGATGCACCACCACCTAATTCAGTTGAATGGGTCCTGTTTGGCACACCACCATGCAATTCAGTTAAATGGGTCACATTTGCCGAACACAATGGGGGAAGGGGGGTATGGTAAACATCAAGGCTAAAGTATATGTGCACCCCATCACCCCAATAACTTGACTAGGTCATGTTTGGCTCACTGCCGCTTCGTCCAGTTGAATAGGTGTCGTTCAGTGCCCCACAATGCAATTCATTTGAATGGCTCCCATTCAGCACACCACCAAGTAATTCAGTTGAATGGTTTACATTCAGAAGGTGATATCGAATTTCGATCCATGTATTGGCAGGCTGGCTGTACATAATTCGATCTATTAATCAACTTGTGTACGATCAGCCTGTTGGAAAACTTTCTCTTGATCAGTGTATTCTGACATCGGGGCAGTCTACCCACTGTCAGAATACAATAGATCAGTGGGAGGAATTCCCCCATCATCTTGCATATGTGAATGGGGAATCCCACTAGTTGAACCAAAAAACAATTACTTGTATATGGCCAGCCTTAGTCCTGACATTCCTGTGTTCTGTGAATCCCCTTTACTTCTTTTAAGTGTAGCTCTCTTTTAGGGGTTTATGACAAATGGCCCTCCCCAAAGGATATTGCGCTATACCTATAGGTAAATAAAAGAACCAGAACCTTTCCCAAGTGGAAGAGGCCACTCAGCACAAGGCCTCTATGAACAGAGGGCATTCCCTCCCTGGCAAATTTACTAGTTGAAGGATAAGTTCACCTTTAGGACAAAAATAAGAAATGCACATTTTTTTGCAGGTAAAAAAATGTGCATTTATTATTTGTGTCTACAGGAGCCTGTAAAGCATTGTACCAGTGATCAGTAGCTCACTAATGCCATGCGGGTTTCCTGCAGACCTGTCAGAATATGTACTTGCCGTACGGGATGTAAGAGCAAGTAGATATACTGACAGGAAGCTTCAATGAACTACCACGGCGCTCCACAGCGCCATAGTAGTTAATTGAAAACTACAAGTCCACAGCCGCTAAGGCTGCTGGGACTTGTAGGCACTCATTCACAGAACATTGTGAATGAGTGATACGGCTGTGAGGGCTGAGCCCCGCACAGCCATAGTGTTTTCAAATCTGAAAAGATAGTATGGGGAAACTTCTCCCTATACTATCTCTCAGAGGGAGAGGGGGTGGTGGGCGTGGCTGCAGCTATGGGAACATGTTACATGTTCCACCCTAAAAATGGGTGGAACATGTAACGTGTTCCAAAGGTGAACTTTAAGAACTACTGCAAACAATATGTAATATTAACCATAACTATACAGATGCACGCCAGTATGAAAATAATGCAGGTTTTATATAGCTGGAGATGAATAATAGTACATATATCCAATGTACAAAAAGGTATTAACAGAAAAAGGCCCAATATGAGTTCTTGTGGAAGTGTGCACATATACCTGGGTATATATAATTAAAAATAGAGATACCTCCAGATGAATGTTGCTGGGACCCATGAGGAAGATCACAATGCGCCATTCATCTTGGTGTCGGAGACCTGAAGACAAGGTCTGTGGTGATGGGGAGAACCTTCTGCCGCTGTCCAACCAGCCTAAAATGCAGCTTCTCATCATTAGAAACATAGTGTGGCACTGGAGCCTAGAGTCACCTATCCACTCTGCACTTTAAACCCTAGTAGTTTCTAATTTGACTTGCAAATGGACCTCTAACTACCAGAAGTTGCCATCTGATACCTAACCTGGCTCTAGCCTATGCAAATTATTGAGCCCTGAGTTAAAACTAGCTATAGAATACCAGACCAAAACAGACATGGTGAACTAAAATAATAGGAGCTGTGTATAAACTCTATTGCAATAAACAGGTCCGTCTGCTAATATACTGGAAGGTGACCACTACAAATCATACAGTAGCACAGACCCAACTATCTGGCACTGTGCATATGAGATAATAATAGGATAGAGATAAATGAGTCTGTCACCCATCTATAGAGATATATATATAGTATCTATATACTCAGAAGCTATTGGCAACAATAGTAAACTGGTAAACATAGGAGCACTGGCCTAATCCCTTCTGGTCTAGATTTAGAAGCAGCATTTCTGTGGACAGGATATGTGGTGTGAGATTTTCTCTGTCTCTCCCCTTCCTCCTGCTGGGGTTTCCAAGCCAGACCTCAGAGACAGGATGTGGTGTACATAAATAATATCTGTGAACAATAAGCAGCACAGCCACTTACAGAGAGTAGAGGGTAGATCCCTACATAGTCCAATAATTCATTACTGAATAATTAGTTTACCCTCAACTTATAGCTTCTTAAGGTGAATATGGTTTGTCCATGTAGGTCCAAACAGAAGATTTTTTTATGGGGTCTATTTATAAAACATTTGCATAGCCATTCATCCATCCAGAGAATCTGAATGTACATTTGACCTGTTTGAATTGGGCAAAAACTGATGTTCTTTAGACTTTTTTCTCTCATGAATGAATAATCATTATAAGCAATAATAAAATACCACATTTTGGCGGTGAGGAGCATAGGAAACACATATATCTAATACGTGTAAACATTGGTCATGATTCTGAAATCTACCTGGATGGCTAAGAAGACTCCTCACTCATTTTCATGCTGAGAAATACCTTCCTCAACCCACCTGCACCTACAGCCACTGTTGTTACCTTCTGCAGCTTCCGGACTAGTGCCCGGCCTGAACCATAGCCAAACCCCATCACATGAAGACACGGGGTTGGCCTGTAACGTTGCCTCTGGCACTGGACCCCACATTGTATCATGCCTTTTATACTGTAGTACAACAAGGTTCAGTTAGCCAAAGGGTGCTCTACAAGTCCAGGGCAGTGGTGATTTGCACAAAATCCCAGAAGAACCACCTCAATGGAGTAGGGGATATGACCTCCCAAAAAAGCAGGGAGTTTTCAACTGGTAGTACTCCCCTGAGAAGGAGACAAGAGTCCTAGAGTGGTGAGTCTGTGGCTATGTCCCTTGCTTGTAGCAACTCCCCTCCCTTAACAACCCCCCACCCCCATTCCTGGGATTATTCCCTGACCCCTATGCCCCTGCTTCCATAATGCAGAGGAGTAAGCAGCATACTTAGGTGGGAAGCAGGGTGGTGCAATGCTTTAAGTGATATGATGCAACCAGAGGTGTCCCTAGGGTTGGTGTCACCCGGTGCGGTAACACTTGGTGACACCCCCTCCGACGATCCCCACAGAATGGATTGGATCTGCGGATTGAGCAGATCCATTATGCTCAATCCGCAGATTCGATCCATCCTGCAGGGATCGTCTGCTTTCTTTACAACTTACCTTTTCTTGGAGCGGGTCCAGTGTCACCCCGTATAGGTTGCATGCCGACGATCCCTGCATGATGCATCCCGGCATGAAACCATTAGGGACATAATACACTCCTGTTTGAAGTTAGAGCCATCCTCACCTCCTGGACCTAAGGTCACCAGTATGGGATATCTTCCCAAATCCTCAAATATGGGATATCCTTCCCAAATCCTCAAATATGGGATATCCTTTCCAAAACCTACTGTTCACCCACTGGTAGAGGATGTTCTCTACAAAGCATGGCTGCAGCCAGAAGAATTGTATACTCCTTCCTAGAGGTTTGCTCAGCTGTACTCATTTGAGGAGGCTTACCACAAAAAGTGGAATGTCCTAATGGTGAATCCAGCTTTTTCCTGCACCAACAAATCCCTGACTGTTACGGTTGAGTATGTCCTAGTCTTCAAAGATTCGGTGGACAAGAGGTTAGAGGCCCTCCTAAATCCTCATGCAGAGCTGTTCCCACTCTTTTCCTATCTGAACATCTCTTGGTATATTTCTTTAAAGATGAGTAAAATCCAATATTTAAATGTATAATCCTGTCTTCATTGATGTTGTCCTTCAATAACACTCAGTTTTCATTACCAGTATTCTTCTAGTGTTTTTTGATCCATTCCCAGCAAAGTGTGCCAATCTGTATTGTCATATCCAATTGTGCACCATTCCAACTGAATTAACCAATGGGGAGCAGTATAAACACAATTTTTTTCTACTTACTTGCCTACCCAACTCTGCCACCAGCAGCCAAAGAAACTGTGAGTTCTCCTGGGCATGGGGGAATACCTAACATTTTCACAAATTGGAAATAATAGGTCATTTGTTATGCTGAGTGCTGTCATGTAATGCATGAGTGCTGTCATGTGAGCAGTGCAGAGCTCTGTGTAAATTTCAGCTTTTAAAAAGTTTAAATTTGCTAAGGAAACTAAAATATAAGCATATGCTTATACATTTTCCACAGTCCTTAAGAGTGGGAAAACACGCTGTGGATCTTTTAAGTTTGGTGCCTGCTATAATAAAAAGGAAGTATTTTCACACCATGTGCGTGGTGACGTCCACTGCTGCCCTTCTCACTTTACTAAAAGTATTTAGTATCACTTTTACTGAACAGCTGATTGCCAGCTGAAAAAAGAAATTATACCAAGCTCATGACTGCAGGCTCAACCATGAGCTTGTTTTAACCGCTTGAAGTCCAGAACATTATAAAATGGCTTAAGGACAGCAAGTGGTTTATTACATTTTTACCTGAAGGTGTAGCGACATTGTTCCCACAGTTGGGATGTGTAAACTCCTGTGCCAGGTCTTTCTTAAAGTGTTACTAAACCCATGACCCTGCATTCACTATATATGGTCTTCCACAGTACACAGAACATGGAAATGCAATTATTTTAGTAAATAGAAACTGCTAAACACCTTTTCTCATCAGCAATTCGAGCACTCTTGTGGCTTCTATCAGTGTCTGGCCGAGCACTGGCTAATCTTGTAGAAGGAGTTTCCATTCTTCTCTGACTGTCCTATGAAGCTGCATGACCCCTGACCTTCAGTCCAGACAGTGCTGATTGGCCTTGTGCTGATCGCATGCACCTTCTCAAAAACAAAAGCACTTTCTAGCAATACATACCAAACTGAGCATGTGCAGAGTGCCTCCTAGGGCTCTGTACTGTCAGCAGATGGACTGGGGACTGTGGAAGAAGAGGAGGATCAGAGAAGACAGGATCAAACAACCTTTTTACACAATGCAGCAGATTAACCCCTTAGGTTCCATGTTGAGTATAACAAGAATGTTTTACTGCATATACACACTGATTTTACTGTTGTGGGTTTAGTAACAGTTTGTCTCCATTGTAATACTACATCCTTATCCGTTTATAAGGAGTTTATATACAAATGCTGCACATTTACCACTAATTTGCTTCTATTGTAAATTATTAGAAGCTGGGATAACATTTGCTATTTTGTAAATACTGTGAATCTGGGCATAGAAAACATGCAGCTTTTTATTGCCTATAGCCACTAATTTTGTGTAATCATTCCTGTTTAATGCCGAATTATGAATCTCTCACTGAGCACTAACAATGCTGATTTAGTTTTGAATTACATAGCTTAGCTTAGAATGACACGATTTGTATTCACCTGATAGTTTTCCTAAATGTAAATCCAGTTAATCTTTAATAGCAGAAACCATTAAATTAATAGTTTCCCTAGGAAAAAAGGTTTCTCAATATAATGTTTCTGCAAGCAAAATAATTTTGTTTACGTGGCCTGATTTTCATAAAAGAAGCTTTATCTGGTTTACTGAAAAGCATTCATTAGTAGTCTATCATGAGATGAAGCACGCTTGTGTCATCACAGTAACAGCTGCAAACTTCAGGTCTTGAAGTATTTTTGCTACATCTTTCTGTCGCATTTGTGGAATATGAAAAACCCAGCCACATCTTACTTGTGAAGATACTTAAAGAAGAAATTGCTGATATGGATATTTTTATACATAGTTACTGTGGTCCAGCTTGAACCAATGTAACTATGTATATACCATACCTGGCCAATGGCCCTGGAAGCTGGAAATCAATGAAGCAGAGACAACTACCCCAGTGATCTCCACTTGCTTCTGGGTCCCACAAACGATCAGCATGGGCACCATTCAGAAAAGGCTTTTCATCTCCTGAATTAATGCAAAGCATTTTCTGATTGAACAGGGTGGCGAGTATGATGATGTCCAACTCATTCAATCAGGGAACACTTTGCATTCATTCAGAAAATGAACAAAAAAAACTATGTATAAAATATCCAAAGAACAAGGAGAGAAAGCCATTGCACATGTTTCATCCTGCCTACAGGGCTTAGTCATGGTGGTATCTTCATGACTAAGCCCTGTGGGCAGAGTGAAATATATCAGGGGGTATGGACTGGGTGGAGTTAGGCTGAGGCTGCTATCATCTATTCACCAGCTGGGCTGGCATGGTGTGCGGTGGATGAGATTTCCCTCCTTGTTCTGTGGATTATATGGCATCAGGGCAGACTCCAACTCCCTCAGTGGAATATTCTGAATGGAGGACATAGATGCTGGAGCGGAGGCCCTGAAGTTGGTTTAGTTTCACATAAAATATCCATACTTGGAAATCTTTGTTGATCCCTTCCTGCCCATTCCTGTGAATGACTGTCATGGTGGTCACAGGATCGAGAGCTGGTCCCCCCAAGTTACTGATCATTAGTGGGGGCTGACAGCTGTATTTGACAGTTCAGTCTGTGTGCTGGGAGTGCACAATGCGTGTTCTCCCAGTACAGAAACCTCAGCCGCCCAGTGACGCATATATGCACATGTGGGTGTTAACTGCTTAAGGACCTTAAGGACCCTACCCTATAGCTATAGCAGATATACTGCTACAGGGCGGCACCTGTGCTCAGAATCACATATATATATATATATATATATATACGCGATTTCGCATTTCCGGGTAGGGCGCGCATCCTACCCATGCCGCCATTTGCTGCCACGGATGTCAATCACCGAGTTCCGTCCGGTAATTACCCACCGGCGGCCGGTGATTACCGAGCATCTCTTAAGGGGAGGAAGATTGTTTTGTTTACAATCTTCCTCCCTGTCAGCTCGAGCACACTGCTCAGGATGACTGCGCACAGTACAGCCATCCCGATCAGTGTGCTTACAGTGAAGAACACCCCCCCGCTCCCTAGTAAAACACTCCCAGCACACAGTTAACCCTTTGATCGCCCCTCACATTAACCCCCTCCTGCTCAGTGCCATTAGTACAGTGCCAGTGCTTATTTTTTTAGCACTGATCACTTGGTGTCACTGGGGCGTTATGTGTTAAATGAGCAGTAAAGAGTTAAATAAAACCTTTTAAAATGTTTTTGCCTGGAAGTGCACCTACCTGCAGTTACGACTAAATGCCATGCTGTTAAAAGCCCCTTCCTGTCTCCTCTGCATTCCTGTTGGCCAGTAAGGCAGCCAATCATAGTGATGAGCCAGCAGAGGTGTGTGGGAGTGGGAGGGAGCAGCATACTGCAAAACTAGCTGGAACGTCAAAGCTTTGCCTGTGAGCGTGGTGTGGTTTTGAGCCATAACTGCAGTGCTTTTGGAGGCTGCTGCAGGTACTCTGTATAGGGACATCTAAGCACTTCATACTTCATGATTTTTTTTCCTGACAGTCTCTTTATGGTCACAGACAAAAACACTCTCACCTTAAAAACTTTTGTTCATATATATTTCCATCCCTGCTTAAGTGCAGTGTCACCGGGAACTGTAGCTACTTTTCTGGATGACTTGGCTTTTATAACTATGTGCAGCATGCATAATTAAACAGTTCCTACAGAGAAAAGGGAGATGTTGCAATGGTGCATGCTTGTAAGTGCTTATGCCTGGAGTGTTCTTAGCTCCTCCATGGCTCAAGTGAAGCTGGAATCTATTGTAATCTTTTGACTGTCCCTTTAGACCAGGGGTCTCCAAACTTTCTAAGCAAAGGGCCAGTCTACTGTCCTTCAGACTTTGGGGGGGGGGGGGACTGTGACCAGCGTGAGCAGAAAATTCCACGGCATCGGTGGATATAAACAATGCCCCATCATTGGTTTGAACAGAAGCAATAGTGCCCACTGTTGGTATCAATGAGAAGAATAGTACTCCATCAATGTGGTTAGTGGGAGGAATAGTGCCCTATCAATGGTGTCAGTTGGTGGAATACTGCCCAAAGGGCCAGATAAAGGCAGGACAAGGGCCACATCTGGCGCCCGGGGCTGCAGTTTGGATACCCATGCTGTAGACCAAGGTTTTACCAAGTGTGGTCCATGGACTCCTGGTTGTCTTCAGGCATGTGGCAGGTGGTTTCTAGCCATCTTTTACACTCGTCTGTAATATGTGCTTAGGAGAAAAGGATCAAGATATAAATAAGAAGCAATAAACAGCAAAGTATATTAAGCCTGTTAAAGCAACATAAAAGGATATGAGGCTTCAGAAGAAATTGGTAACAAGGTGTCAAGTTTGTAAAAGAGACATTCAACTAGACTCATTTTGTAATGTTGATATTCAAATGGATTATCCAAGTGGCTACCTTAGTTCATATAGGTGTTGGGAACAGACCTTGGCATTTGTTGTGTTTCATGAAATGTGTCAAAAGTCAAAACATGATTGTCCAAGAGCATGACTGGAGTATAAACGTCCACAGAGAAAGCAGGGAACAGTTCCAACTGATAATAATGCATCACAGGCAGAGATCACAGTACGCCAAAAGGAAGCTAATAAGAGAAGCCCATTGCTCTTCAGAAGACCTTAAACATTCTCTAAAGTAACCCATGCAAGTAAAAACACTGAAAAATCAAGTATTTAAAAGGCCTACATGCCTTTAAATCTTTTTTATTTGCAATGTGCCTTTAAATTTGCTAGAAAAATTTACTACATTTACTGTCTGTGCTGACCCATCTCCTTCATTCCTCTCCTCGCCTGCCTACATAACCTTTTATGAAGAAAGAAAACCCCTTCCCATCATTAATGCTGTCAGCAATGGCACCATATTGAAGAGAAATGTCACAAAGCCTGAGAAAAAAAATAATGTCTTTACATAAGAAAGGTGAAGGCTACAAGAAGATCAGCAAAGCATTACTTATCAGTCAGAATACTGTAGCAAAAGTGATACAAACATTTAACAAAGATGGAACTGCAACCATCTCACAGAGGAGTCCAGGTCATCCACGGAAGTTTACACCTTGACAGGAGCGTCTTCTGTTAAGAAAGGTTGAAGAAAATCGCCATGTAAGTTCACTGCAGTTAGCTAAAGAAGTAGAAAGGAAAACTGGGGGATTGTTTCCCGTGACATAATATGGAATAGAGTGCATTGAAATGGCATGGATGGGTGTTGTCCACAAAGGAAACCTCTACTAAAGCTCATGCACAAAAAAGCCCGCCTAGAATTTGCCAGGGCCCATGCTGAAAATGAAGACTACTGGGACTGCTTTGGAACTGATGGCTTCAAAACTGTATGGCGTCGCAAAGGGGATGAGTACAAGGAAAAATGCATTGTGCCTACAGGGAAACGTGGTGGCAGTGGCCTTCTGTGGGGCTTCATGAGTGCTGGTGGTGTCAGGGAGCTGCATTTCATTGATGGTATCATGAATTCACAGATGTACTGCTCTATATTGAAAGATTAGATGTTTCCATCACTCCGTACCTTGGTCATCGTGCACTTTTCCAACAAGACAATGATCCAAAACACACATCTAAGACCACCGTTGCATTTCTGAAGAAGAACAGGGTGAAAGCGATTCAGTGGCCAAGTATGTCTCCTGATCTGAACCCAATCGAACACCTATGGGGAATTCTGAAGAGACAAAATGAGCATCACTCTGCATCCAGCCTCTAAAAGAGGTTGTTCTTGAAGAATGGAAAAAGATAGATGTTGCAATATGTCGCCAAATTATTTATTCCATGCCTAGAAGACTTGGTGCTGCCCTTACAAATCCTGGAGGTCATACAAAACACTATATGTAGTAATTTTTGTTATGGGGTGTATTCATTTTTGCATCAACTAGTTTGAGTAAAACTGAAGATTTTGTAAATCTACGTTATATTATTAACTTTACTTTCATGCAATGAGCAGAGGCGGACTGACCATTTGGGAACTCGGGCACTGCCTGAGGGCCCGGGGTCAGTAGGGGGCCCCATGAGATACCCCTGGCACCTTTCATAGGCTTTTTTGGGTGTGGTTTGAGCTTGGGTGAGGACACAGGGGCCCCATGATCCCCTATTGCCCGGGGCCCCATGAGTTGTCAGTCCACCCCTGCCAATGAGCTAAACAAATGTTCTATAAAACTCAGTTTTATCAACATTTTGGAAATTGTTCTTGTGTTTCTTGAGATCTTGATTAAATTCTTACTTTTCAAAAGGGGTGTACTCATTTATACTGAGCACTGTAAATAACACAATGAACTTACAGCTCAGAGATCAACCTTAAAAAAAAAATCAAAGAAATGTTAGCTTTTTCTGACCAGACCATAACAAACTTATTTGTGATTGTCTACTTTTTGTTACAATGCTTTACACTTTGTATTCCTCAGCAGGGATCCATGCATATATGCACTGCTTTACATGGAGAACCCATACAATACATATGGTATCTCTGTTATCTGATAATGAAAAGGCTACCAGTAAAAGCTGTGCAATATTTACAATCCAAATGCTTGTAGGATTTGTCATTGTTCCAAGAGTACACTTTGAGCCCTAGGCAATAAACATTTATGTCCTTCCATAACCTCCTAGTAACACTTGTGACCCTGTGTGCAAGAGCAATTTATTTGATATTTATGTATTGCATAGAATTGTTTGAAAGATTCCTCGAGGCGCTGTCATGTTAATTATTGTCTCAAGACACTGTGCTAATGACCTCTGTGATTATTTAATCTAATGTTTGCCATTCTCTCTGCCAAATTTATTTTACAATAGTAAAATTGTTAGCAGGCAGGTGATGGGGTCAAATTGTGTTTCGTTTTAATATCAATTTGTTTTATATTTTTGGAGTAGAAAGAGAAGGATTGGTGCCATAACAAAGATATGAGGAATTGTCCGAAAGGATAGATAGATAGATAGATAGATAGATAGATAGATAGATAGATAGATAGATAGATTTCATAGATAGATAGATAGATAGATAGATAGATAGATAGATAGATAGATTTCATAGATTTTCATTTTAACTTTTTATTACCTAGTAAAAAATGAAAAAAATATATTTTTTTTATTTTCATGTTATTATTAAGGTCTCCTCCTTTGGTGTATCTTTTTACCAATAGTGAATAAAAAATGATGCTGCTTTTCTTAAAACAGATAATTACCCTATGAACCTCCGTTTGGAGGTTTGTGTGTTGGACGCTTTAAATAAGTAAAAAAAAAAACTAAGATTTGCTATATATGTTTATTGCACTAAAGTGTTACTAAACCCAGGACCCTGCATTCACTATATCTGGTCTCCCACAGTACACACAACATGGAAACGCAATTATTTTAGTAAATATAAACTGCTAAATACCTTTTCTCATCAGCAGTTAGAGCAGTCTTGTGACTTCAGCAGAACACTGGTTAAAGCAGGAGGATTTTTCTTTCTGCTCTATCAGGATGTGGATGCCCTGACCCTCTGTCTGGACAGTGCTGATTGGCCCTGTGCTGATCACATGCACTCTCCTATGTTTAAAAAAAAACTGAGCATGTGCATGTGACTATGGATTCAGTCTGTATCAGGTGTTCATTTCAAAAGGAGGAGGGGCAGAGAAGAAAGGATCAAACAGCCTTTTTACACAATGCGGGGTATTAACCCCTTAGGTTCTACATTGAGTATAACAAGCATGCTTTACTGCATATACAGACTGATTTTACTGTTGTGGGTTTAGTAACACTTTAAAGTGGAACTACACTGCATCTTCGCACTATAAAGCGAAAACACTATTTGATTCATTTTTATTATTCAAAACTAACTCACACATCCATCCATGCCTACATGCTTTATTATGCTGTGAAAATCACTTTGAAAAACACCCCCTAGCATTTCTGGCCATGCCATCCTGAGTAAGGGTGGATGATTCATGTAGCATTTACTTCCTGGAAGCTGTCTGCCCTTAGCTAATGCATTCAGGCAGGAGGGTGTGGTTAGCTGAAAAAAACCCCTCCTGAAGACTCCTGGGATTAAAACAAGTAAATATAATCTACTTTCCTATTTATTTATTAATGCTTGCGGCATAAGGATATCCAGGGAATATCTGATTGCCTCTCGGAGGATCAGGAAGGAATCTTTTTCCCTGCAGGAGCAAATTGGATCATGCTTTGCTGGTTTTTTTTGCCTTCCTCTGGATCAACTGTGGGTATAGGATTATAACTTTTTTTTTTTTTAATAGTTGAACTGGATGAACTTTTGTCTTTTTTTAGCCAGACTAACTATGTAACTATAAGGATTAAAAGTAGTCAATGTTGATTGAGAGACTGAAGTTCCGCTTTAAAATATGTATCTTGAATTTACTTAAACTGACATATTGTTTATACTTATTAGACCTACTAGAAGTACCCCATGGGTCACACTCACCACAGTTGGAGAAATTTTGGTTTAGTGGTCACAGTAAAATCCAGTGGGAAGGACTTCGGACATTGAGCAATTTCTTTTCAAGGAGGGGGGAGGAAAGTTTTTAAAATATTTTTCTTCTTTACATGATTAAGGTTTTGAGTTTTTAATGACTAAAATGAATTAGAAAAAGCACTGCTGACTTCCATCTTCCAATCATGTGCAAGCGAAAATGCTGGGTTTTTTTTTACTTTCCATTCACGTGATTGGGTATTCTTTGCAAAGAAAAAAAATCTCTCTTGCAATTGCAAACTGCAAATTCTCTTGCACGGTGAACAGCCTATTTGCCTTTAATGAATTATCCCCTATATACTGTATATCTAACAGAATATGGGGGGAATTTACTAAAACTGGTGCACCCAGAATTTGGTATAGCTGTGCATAGTAACCAATCAGCTTCTAGGTTTATTTTCAAAGTGCAATTAAACAAGCTGAAGTTAGAAGCTGATTGGTTACTATGCAGAGCTGCACCAGATTGTGTGCACCAGTTTTGGTAAATACAAAGTTACTATACTCAGTAGTTTACTTGTAAGCTTCTGCTGTTTTGCTAAATTGTACTTAAAGCAGTGTACACCATATAGGTATGGCTGCCCAACACAGGACTACAACAAACATATGTGAAATATATACATGGTCTAGAATATACTACCTTACCTACTGTATCTCGTATTTTGTGTCTCCATAGGACGGATTGAACAATTACTGTTTCTTGGTCTTTGCTGTGATCTCCTTGGCTGGTGCTCTCTACCTCTATTTCATTTTACCTGAAACGAAAAACAAAACTTTTAACGAAATTGACCAAGCTTTCTCCAAAATGAATAAAACATCCTCGGCATTGAAAGAGTCAGAGAAATATGCAAGTACAGAGAAGACTGTTGAACAGATTGAGAATACTAAAGCTCACACAAATCATACTGATCACAACAGTATGGAGATGGAATACATAAATCAGTTGTGAGGTGTACTTGAGGAACGTGGAGGCTCTCTACTCTGAATTACAACTCCCATTACTAACTGCCTACTCTTTGGTGACAGTGTATTGGCAGCTCTGTTCTGTCCTTTTCTTTTAATTATTATAAATTCAATATGCATTGCATATGATAATTTTATAATCTGTGCCAAACCTTCTATAAAATTACACTAACCTTTTCCCTACAGGATAAAATAACAGGGTCACTCAACTCATCCAATACTCAGCACCAAATACTCACCATAACTTCCCTCCCTTACTGCTCTGTTCATATTCAAATGCAAACTCTAACAGGTTTGAAGGTTGTTATGTAGTGAAACACTCTAATAATATTCTCTCCAGTTTAGAATATTCCCTCCTCCCAAGACCTCCTGCTCTCTACCTCCCTCATCTCTTCCTCCCGTGCTCATCTCCAGGTTTTCTCAAGAGTCTCCCCCATCCTCTTGAACTCCCTACTCCAATCCATTCGGCTATCTCCTAGTACATCAGCTTTCAGGGGATCCTTAAAAACTCATCTCTTTAGGGAAACCAATCCAGCCTCTACCTAATAATTGGAATTTGACTTTCTCCATCAACCTATTCCCCCACAGTTATTACCTTTTGTATCATTTGCTCCTCCCCTTTAGATTGTAAGCTCTCCGGAGCAGAGCTCTCCTAATACTTTTGCATTGTATTGTAACTCTACTGTCTCCCTTACTTTGTAAAATGCTGTGCAAACTGTTGGTGCTATATAAATGGTGTATTTTAATAATAACAATAATAATTATTTATTTTAAAAATGCACTGAAACACATGTAAAAAGCAACTATTAAAACAAAATAACATTGTCCTGTACCATCAAACATAAAATTTGAAAGTATTTTCCATTTCTTTAAAAAATGCTTCAATTTTCACAAAATCTGCAATAGGCCTTACAGGGCCACGTTATCTAAAATTAGTAATAATTAAACGAGCCCAGATTTGAGTCACATGTTGTTTCACAAATCTTGCTCATGCAGTTGCAAGCTATGCAGCCCTTAAATTACAGGCTCAGGGCATTCCTTACGTAAGGTGTGGTGTTATGTAACAGGGTATCAAAGTATATGAAGCCCACTACAAGTCATAGTATAGCACAGTAAAGACCCTTTTGTCTTTCCTTAAGTCCCATACACATTGGCCAAATATTGGCCGGTATTGGCAGGTTCAACAGAAACAGGCCAACATTCGGCCCGTGTGTGCACCAGCCTGTCTGACAGAAGCCGGATGGCTTCTGTCCAACAGCCATGCTGGAAAGCCAGCATCCCATCAGTGCTGGCAGCCAATGGCTGTGTGCACTGACTGGTGTGTTCTGGCGAAGGGGCAGTCCCTCTCTCAGAACTCAATAGCTCAGTGGGGAGATCGCTGCACTAATCGGATCAGATAGTTCGTTCAGCAAGCTCCTCCCGAGATCTTCAGTTTTTTTGGTGTGTACCAGGCATGACACAGAATTGTCAGCTCTCCCTATCAGCTCCAAACACACTTATAGCTGCTGTGAAACCATCATTTTGTGGGCAGGGGGCTGAGTTAAAAATTCCTTTAAATGTTTGGCATTTGCAACTCAGCTGACATAAGCAATGCATTATAATTTATCTAATTTTTGTGGCAAACTGCAAACACATTGCTCAATAGCTCACAATTTGACCTGAATGGAAAACCCAGGGATCTGTCTTGAACCCAAGGTTGTGCAAATATGAATCATATCCCTTTTCAGAACATAAAGTATATTACAAATTTGGATGCTGGAGAATTAAACCACTTGACAGTCTGTCACTCAGGGGATCTGCAGGTGATATCTCTGCAGCGCCCAGGTGTACAACCTGCCATGGCCAGTGTAGAGTTCTCAGTCTCCTTGTTGTTTTTTATTGATTCATTTATTATTTTATTATGGGTAACTTAACAGAAGGCGTGATTGTCTCAAGTAGGCAGAAGCAAACAAAGAATCTCTAAGACTGTAAGAAACCAGTCAGTGACTCAGGTGTCTAACTGTAACTAATATGTAGTTCAGAAGAGACTTTAATAACTTAGAAATTGTCATGTTGCCTAGTATAGTAGGTTATGGAGAGACAACAACCAGGCCAAGTCAGGTCTATAAACAGCAAAGAGAAACTAGTCGTGTGTATAATATTCTATCCCATCACACCTTCGTTATCAAGCATATATTGCACATACATTACAGTCACATCATATTTTGTAATGTAAAAATGTGGGTACTTCTGAAGGGTGTCATTCCCGTTAAATTAGGAAGTAGCCCAAACATGATAGTTCAAACTAGAGGAGTCCATGACTACTTGTGATGTTCCTGCTTTAGGTCCAAGATACTGTAATTATTGCTATTGGCCAAAAATTACCCATAGTCATAACCTAAAGATTAAAATCTAGATTCACCTTTCACTGGTGTAAAGCAGGGGTCTCCACACCTTCTAAACAAATGGCTATATTACTGTCCTTCAGACTTTACCAGGCAGGATCTTGGCCAGTGGGAAAAGAAAATTCCTCAGCATCAGTGTGAGTAAACAATGCCTCAGGCTTAGTGGTCATTGGGAAAAAAAATCCATAGCACTTGTGTTCAGTAGGAAGAGGATAGAGCCCCATCATTGGTTTCAGTTGAAGGAATAAGTGATCCATTGTAAGTATCAGTGTGAGGAATAGTGTTCCATCCTTGATATCAGTGAGAAGAACAGTGTTCTATTTTTTTATAGCACCTGTGGTCAGTGGAAGGAGGAATAGTGCCCCAGCGTTGGTGTCAGTGGAAGGAATAAGTGTCCCATTGTTGTTCCCAGTTGTAGTTGGTGGAAGTAATACTGCCCCAAGAGTAAGCAAAGGGCCGCATCTAGCTTACGGCCTGCAGATTGGAGGCCACTAGTGTAGAGCAATGGTTCGCAAAGTTTCCTAGCTCAAAGCTACATTATATAAAGTCACAGATAATACTGTGGATGTTATATGCATTTGTACTGCACTAAGCAGTATTAGCCACACTTCGTTCTTAGAAAGGTCAGAGGCAAGGCATAGAAGTAAACAGTCAATCAACCCATGACTAACAATGGCTAGAATATAGAAAGATGGCTAGGAACCACCTGGGGCATGCTAATTTCCTGGTAGTCAGTGGACCACAGTTTAAGAAACATTGTGAAAAATCATTAAAGGACAATTGCTGACTGGTGTCTAAAGGTTGCAGCACTTTGCACAATAGTTTTGCCTTATTTAATAAATCTCCCTGATGATCCATAGTTTACAATCATTATATAGTTTGAATGACAAATGTTTTTGCACTACTGTATTTTATATTGTAT